AACAAACCCCAAAAAAAATAATTTATTTCATCTAAGTCCCATTTTGACTATGACTTTGACAATTCCACCTTTGACTTTGAAATAAAATCTTGACTTTTACTTTGTTAAAATGGGGTGTAACAATCTTTGCTACCAGAGCCGACGTGTTGGTGTCAGACACATCGGACACTGACATGTGCCATATACATTCCGACATGCCTTGAAATTGCCACGAGACATGATGTCCCTCATTAGTTTATTTTTTCAAATCCCACATGTTAGTGGACGTGAAAAACCATGGTAAGTGATCCCAAAAATAGAGAAACAAACATGGCGGTGAGTGCAACGAAAAAGGTCATCACCGACAAGTGAAGTGGAAGATGCTATCGTTGGCGAATGCACTGGAAGAGAGAGGTGGAGAGATAGACAATCGAGCCCTTAGCATTATTTTCACAGAGACGAAGACGGCACTTGAAAGTTGAAAACCAAACCCCAAGCAAATTTTTTTATGTTTTTTAAAATAAAAAATGGGTCAACATTTTTTTAAGTGGGCCAATTGTTTGTTTCTTATTTTTAGAAGTGGTTCTACCATATCATTACTCAAGTACCTTGCTTCTTCAATGAGTAAGATAGGAAACCAAAAGTGACTAAATTGAATTATATTCACATTTGAATTTTACGCTTCACATTTCTTAAATCATTGAATGTTATTTTTTCTTCATTTTTGTCCAGGTAGCCTAAAAAATAACACTTGAATATTTCCTGAAACTCTGACATTATGGCCCTGTTTGGTCCACATTATTTTTTTCATTCTCATTCTTCTACTCATTTTCAATCACACATTTTTCAATAAAATAATATTTTCTATCACATCAATAACGTTTCCTTCCTTTTCAACCACATATTTCCCATCACATCAACAGTAAAATTGCATTCTTACCTTCAAAATGTGCACCAAACGGGAGCTATATAAAGCATGTTTTTCTGTACATTTTTATGTAGTTCTGTTCAACATTGTGGTGCTGTTCGCTGCAAGAATTAAGCAGTCCCAGAATATATCCAATATTAAGAATACACAGCATATGCATACTCGTTCTGAAGATAATAACTAGAAAAGGAAAAGCACGATGTACACAGAATATAGAGACTCGATCCAAATCATCCCCTTTCCCCCCAATAGTGAGACTCTGATGCGCAAAACGTCTTACTAGATACTAACTGAAATTAAGGTAGACAATAGAACTTGGATCTTCCTTGAGCCCCAACCAGTGTAAGACAAATATGTTCATGATTAAGAAGGTCAATGCAAGATCTAGAAATTTGTCCTCGTTAAATTATTCATTGTTTACGAACTATAACTGTTCTTCTTCTCCACAATGAAACATAAAAAATATAGTTTCATGAAATCTCTGAAGGACCTTCTTTGAATTTTTCCTCGTGCATATGACTTTTTACTATAGCATGTGTTTATGTACCAAATAGGGGTTAATTACCTCATTAGTCACTGAACTTTGGCCAAAGTTTCCACCAGGTCACTGAACTTTAAAAAATA